TTCCCCTTTCATGTTTCCCATTGACAACTGGATACGAAAGTTGAAGTCCGTCTGATCAATGACTTTGGTTCACATCTTCCCAAATGTATCCAATTTCTTTTTTTTCCAACAACAGGATGACAATAGGAAAATGAAGAATATTAACAACCACCACAATACACGCCGGCATCATTACTTAAAACTTACAGGTGCTGAACAGAGCACACTCCACATCCATGTTATTAGAACTGACATTTTAAACAGCTCTATTGAATGTTTCTATTTATAATTTTTTTGAAATAAAAATAATAGAAGTATCTATTTATTGAATGTTTCTATTTATTATCTTTACCATTCTCTGACGTTGATTAAGGGCTTCAAGTTTGTGTCTTTCATATTCATTTCTCCTGCCTTCCTTCTTGAGCTGTTCAACAGCAATTAAAAACAAGTAACAAAAACATTAAGATGCATTGCAATGACATAGTTAATCAAATACATAGCAGAGTTAAGTGGGAATACCAATATTATCACAAAGAAGAACTAAATAGAAAGATGAAAACACCATGATTCTAATAATCAGTAAGGAGACTTGGCTAGCTAGAGAAATGCATCAGTGAAGGTTTCTTGAAATGCATAGAAAATAGAGAGAGCTCGGATGTCAGATAGGCATTTTTTAAGACTGAATGCACCCAATGCAATTTATGACATGGCATGGAGCCCAAGAATGTATGAAGAATCATGCAAACTTCCATGAAAATTGTGCCACTAAAGATCTCTGTTTTAAGACAGTATCAGAAAACACACACAAATAGGTTTATGAAGAACGATTTCTTCTGTAGATACAGATTGTAGTGTCAAAAGAACGTGAAGCACCTGCAGCAATTCCTTCTCACGAGAGGCCTTCCATTGTCGAAATTGTTCTGCTTCTTGTTTTATCTTATGCTGTAACTGAACCTGTAAATGGAGACCAAAGAAAACTTAAGCTAACCCAAATTTGAGTAATAATAAAATCTTAACTTAATCAACCTTTTGAGCCTTAGTACACTGTATTTCAGCTTGCAAACGCTTTGCTGCCTCATCACTTCTTTGCTTTTGCTTCAACAATTCAACCTGGCTTTCTTGTTTCTTCTTAAGATCCAAAATCTGGCTTTGATGATGCAAGTTTTAGAGAATCAAGCAAGAATAGTAGGTCATGACAACAGAATGACAATAAGAGAATTTACAGTATCACCTGTGCCTCAAGTGCTTTCAGTTTTTGTACATGAATCTCCTGTGCTTTGTGGGTGTGCCCATCAGAATTAGCTGCAAGGTTTTCAACTTCAGCCAATAAATGGTCTCTCTCTTGCTGCAGTCGCACCATACAACATCAGTCATCACTTGTAGGTATTGTAAAATTAAAAAATTCAGTGATTCAAATTGACCTGTACAATTCTCTTCTCCGCTTCGAGTTCCATAATTTTCTTCTTGAAGTGTAACTTGAGAGCTTCAGTGTCATCAACTCCAAAAAGTCTCATCTCAGCCTGCAGAAAGAGTTAAAAGCCTGCCTTAGCCATGGAATGAGGCAAAGTCATAAATTCTCCCTGAATAGATGCATTTTCTATGAGATGTATAGAACTTTACTAAATACTACTCTTTGTTAGAAGATACCGAAATTAAATAAGGCCTTGTGGCAATCAGCCTTTCTGAACACTATGCTTATCCTCACCAACTTGATGACAACGGAATTCACGATCCAAGAACATTATTTTCCAAGATCTACAGCTCATATATCAACTGTCATCTAGTGGTTATAAATCCCACTCCTCAAGACTGGCTAAAAATCAACTAGAATACTTTCGTAAGTGCCTTATAAACATCAAGAAAAGGGCAGTATGGAATTTTCTTGAAGAAAAGGAATGTCCGAAGTACTACATCACTAATTAGGATTTCCGCAGTTTTTGTCACACCTGAAGGTTTTGCATGAATAATGTCCTAGGAAATCCTATACAGAAAACAATTACTTTTGTCTCACAAAATATAGACACGTTCTTTGGAACTGATAATTATTCTTTTTGAGGATTGATTAATTGACCAAGTAAAATTCTGGCTGCATATAAGCAAGTGCACAGAGCAGACCTCTTTCTCCTCTAAACGTTTGTTTAGCTCATGCAATTCTTTGTCCATGGTATTCCGCCGGAGTGCATGCTCCCATTCTTTTGCCACTTCATCAACTTCCTTAGAATTTTCACCTGCAGAAGCAATCACGCCTGAAAATTAATAATACTAAGGAAGAAGAAAGGAGACTGCGAAAGGGGAACAGGAAAAATGCAAGTGATGCAGTCTATTTCTAATAAATAGAGCTACAGCCAAAAGAAGGTAGTATTCCACAGATCCATGCGCTCAACACCCACTTTTCCTCACATCCAAAACGTCAGGAAAAAGGAGTAAATAAAATGCAAAAAGCCAGGATAGTCATAAGCAATGAGCATCTTTTCTATGCACCTCCTGGATCTTAATCAAGTCTACTTCAAGCATTATTTAATGATGGTTCATACAAGTTGACTAAGCATTTTACCCGATGTGGTTCCACTCATTTGATAATCAGATGAATCTATGCTCTGAAAACCCCTCTTAAGTCCATCACTTTTTGAAAAATAGACTTTTTCTTCCTGTGAGACAAATAGAAAAGAGTATAAATTAACTAACAGTCATATCAAGCAGCTGTACATGAGCACATTATTGTTACAAAGGAACAACTCTGGTTTGCTAGTATTGAAGAAAATTATTGACATCCCAATCCACAAGTCAGAAGAAAAATATTTATCAAGGGAAAAACGAAGAAATGAGGAAAACGATGAAGGAGAATTGTTTATAGAGAAATACTTGGGCATCAATTTCACATTGCTCTATGACGGCACATCTACTGCGATATTCATGAAGTTTTCGACAAAGATCCTCATTGGAAGCCTCCAGCCAAGCAACCTTTTCCTTGAGAACCTGTAAAACCAACAACTTTATATATTCTGAACTGCTATCAACCAACTCACAAGTTCTCCATTGAGTTTGACAGAAGTCAGGTACCAGTATCTGATCCGATTGGGCTTCTCCTCCACGAGCACAAAGCTCTGCCTGTAAGAAGCTTAGCTGCTGACGCATTCTTTGCATCTCATTAGATATAACATCTCTATTAACCTGTGCAGAAAAATATATGATTTGTATTTGCTCCTGCCTGCTAGGATGTAAAACACAAAGACTACGAAGATCCAATCAACATTTGGCTAAAGGCACTAGTTACAACTCCTAATATGGCCATAGGAAAGTCATATAAGTACTTACAACAGGCTTATTCTCAATATTGCGAGCACGATTTGCATACTTGAGAGTGTTGAGACTTTCCTCAGCATTGATGTCAGCAGGGCTGATACAAGCTGGAAGAAAAATGAAATTTGCTGTCCATATCAGGAAACAGAAAAACCCTAGAGTTTTACTCAAACTAACCATCCAAGGAATGATTGTCGTGTGTGTTTCAAGGGTGAAAACAATATCACTTAAAAGTTTACCTATCATTACAGTTCTGCTGTTCCCACCAAGGGAATCCTGCCAAAATGCAAAAACAGATTTTGTTTAAAAAAATAACCAGATACGATAGCTTCCTTATTGGAGAGACTGATAGATGTAACAAATCACTCTTAAATCTCATCAAGCCCCACAAAAGGAATTTTAAGACCATTATCAACCAACAATTGTATATGATCATCCTTTCTAGCAAATAACAGCTATTCACCAACACATCAGTAAATGGTAAATCTCTAAATAAGCTAGAAACTGTTGTTCTTTCCTTAGTGAAATATTTTGAAAAAAAAATCTAAAAAATAGATGGCAAAAAATACTTATGATTGACAAAGCCACAGAATAAAAAGAAAAAAAAAATGTCGTAAGGTCACCATATCAATAGCCAATGCAAATTTCAGGAAGAAATCAGGAAGAAACTTAGATGCACAACTTCATGGTGCACTATCAAGCCTCTAACCTGCAGGAGTCGAGTCAGTTTGCTGTCGCGGTATGGAACATGTGCACCTTCTTTCCGCTTTTTCTCATCCCCAAGTGCACTTATAACATTACCAAGTGCAAGAAGCCCCCTATTAATGTGAATTCCTGTTCATCATGATAAGCAGGATATTTGTAACCATTGGTATCATTGACTCAGGTATATATTAAGTGAGAAGCATTTACCAACCTTCTTTCAGACGAAGACCATCTGACCCAGTTCTTTTAGCTCGTTCTGATCCAGCAAGATCTACTAAATGGAGCTTAGCACAAAAGTATTCCTCCCCCATGTCCTCATCTGGAGTGTCATCAACTGAGGAAGCTGAATGGATCTTGCGCATCTGTTCCAATGTGATCGTGAAGATGGCATGGGAGCGACTTTTGCAATCATGCAGAAGGAATCACATGCCACTAGGTTAGGAAGATTTAGCAGTAAGTTACAAACATGAAATAAGCTCTTAGCATATAATTTATCACTTCAATTTAAATGTCAAGCAAATTAGTGACCAAGCACATCACAGCCTTAGCATATAATCCCACTATTAAGCTCAGTATGCCCAAATATACAGCTATTCATGCTTGAAATTACATGTACCAGAAGAAAAAGGAAGTTAAGCTAATGCAAAAACAGAAAATCTATGTACTGTACAAAATTCAACAATTAGAAGTAGAACCACTACATGTACATCGATCTCCTAAAGTTAGTTATGCTTCCTTTCACGGGGTAAAAGGTTTTTCACATTTTTTCACCGAAGATTATTCTCACATTTTCTATTATACCATAGGTTTCTGTTAAAAAGAAACATAATGGAGCTGCTTTAAAACTTCAGAAAGCGTAAAAAATAACATAAGATGTTTAGAAATGATCTCTGAAACTTAGCCAATTATTACAGTACTAGAATTCAGACCAGCCTTACAAAGTTTTCTAGCCCAAAAATCTCAAAATTATAAGTTAGACAGTGAAAAACCTCTGGGATAGAACTGCTACATCATCCAAATTCTAACTCTCCTAGTTGCATTTAGGCAGAGATTAAAGGTGGTAATTTCAAGGTTTACCTTGACTGGTTGTTCATATTTGTACTCCCAGTTGCCCTACTTAAGGATCCTTGCTCCAAGCAAGCCACCATTTCTTGCAGTGTAGCAACAGCAACGTCAGTTGTCCCTGCTAATGTTATTACTCCATTTGATGATTCACGAATTTGAATCGGTGGCCTTCCAGGAACAGAAACTTTTCCAGCATGTCCATTAGCAGTTGAGGATTTGTTTACAGATACAGAATCAAGCAAGTCCCTCACTTCTTCTTTAAAAATCTTGAAACCAAAAACTCTTAATTAAATATATGAAATGAAGAAAGAGAAATCTTTAGAAATAACAAATTATGAGAACATCTTGTTATGTTGCCAATTCCTGATAATATTCTTAAGATTGGCCTGATTCAAATGATCCCTTCAGTGTATCATGTAAGCTGTCCAGCATTCCTCCCACCTTTTGGGTTCATTGGATACAAGTACAGAATTCTGAGTTTGAACCAAATCTGTCAGATAGCAGTAGAATACCTCTATAAAAGAAACATGTAACTGAAATTCTGTTTGATTCTTCAATGTTTCAATTTTGTTGAATAGTGCACTCATAACTTGAGGAATCAGTCCTGTTTGGCAACCATCTCTCAATCCAGTCCCCATAGTATATGTCTTCCCAGATCCTGTCTGCAGCACTTGAATATATCAATTGCTAATTGAAATGATGACTAAATGAAACTGGTTAGTGTAGATTTTGCACAATATAAACATTACCTGACCATAAGCGAGTACAGTAGCATTGTAACCTTGGACCAAACCATCGACAAGGGGAAGGACACATTCTTCAAACATTCCAGATGACCGGGAACCATCATTTCCATACACATAATCAAATGTGAAGGAATGTGTACCAATTTGTACCTGCACATAGTAAATAAGGTTTTGAAAAGATCTTATGGAAGCCAAAAGTTCAAAAAGAAAACATCTTAGTTCTCACCAATGTGTGTGCGGAAGGGGGTTGGCTGGGGGGCCGAGGGAAGAGGGGCGGGGGTGTTGGTGATGTACGTGAAGGGGTGGGGGGCATGTGTATACAGAATTTAGATTCTATATCTTGCATCTGTCTTGAGGAAAATATTTTTTCCCCTTTAATCTTGTAGCCAGTTACTCACACACGCCAGAATCAGATCCCCCATTTTTCATCCACCATGCTTTCGTTACAAGTGAAGAAAGGTGTGACACAAGGACAAACGCATTGTAGCAAATGTTGCTACACACTCTGACAGTTCTCGTCCACCATGCTTTCATGGCAAAGAAGGGGTGACAGTGACACAAGAACAAAGCCATAGTAGCAGACGTTCAAAATATTGTAAGGAGCTTAGTTGTATAAAGTTTAAGTTCTATACCATGTACAATTCATGAATAAATTCTCTCGTGTATAGTGGATGTGTAGAACAATACAAAAGATTGTGTACATATAACCATAGAATTGTACATCAGTTACATATCAGTAGATATATATCCCTTTTAAGGAGGAAGCAAACATTAGTCTTCACATCTCTGGTCATATTTTAAATAAGAGACAGTCTTCTTATAGACTAGAGGTATTTGCAAAACACAAAAATTCTTTGCACCCAATGAAAGTCTAGAATCCAGCTCCCTCATCAGTAGTTTTTCACCAATCCAGCTCAGTGACAGAAAGATCAAAAACCAAGTCAAAAAATCGAATCGCAATAAAGAACGCTCCATTTCTGACAGATACAGAAACTTTTTCATGAATTGATCAGAATATGTAGGGAAAAGAATTAACTGGGTATTGAAAAATGGTAAGCAAGTATATAATATGAAGTCGAATCAAAATAAAACACAGCCTATCAAATCGAAAGTACATAATATTGTTCTCTCATGGAAGTTCAATTTCGTAAAAACCAAAGCAAATAAAATAAAATACACGTTGAGGCAAACAGTTCTACAGTTTTTACGAGACACTAAAAAAATGAAGAGACTGCCAAACAAAGTACCAGTAGTAATTAATCCCCGACAAATCTATTCAATCAGTTCTATATGAACCAAAAACAGAAATAAACACATACTTTCAGCTCGGTGAACAAAATCCTAGATACGAACCGACCAGAAAAATCAGAATAAGAAACACACTAACCGTTTTAGCATGTCATCAAGGACTGAATTGTAAGAAACGTAGAGGAGCTTACCTGAGGTTTCCCAGGTGTAACCGTTACGCATTCTTTACACCCTTGAGCACGCTCGTCGGCGATTAATGGCCGTATGTGAAGTGCAACTTTCACACAACAATTCTCCGAGGAAAACGACTCCATGAAGCAAATAGCAAACGGAGAGAAAAAGAGAAGAAAGAGAGTGATAGTAAGTCGTGGAGAGAAGAAGATCAGCGCCTCATTATCGGATCAGTTGAGGAGGATTATGATGATGAAGAAAATGCCGCAGCAACGGAAGCTAGGTGGAGAGAGAGAGAGAGAGAGAGTTTGGTGTTCGGTAATGTATAACGGTGTGTTCGGATGATTAGATTAGTTAGTTTGAAAAGAAGAGTACCAGAAGGGAAGAGAATGTAACTGCAGCGACAACCACCGCCATCACTTTCCTTCTTTTTCACTGCTCACAGGTCATACGGCAGCTACTGTTTGCAGAGAGAGACAGATGGAGAGAGAGGGAGAAGGGCATTGCCCAAAAAATGACCACAACGGTGGCGTTTTGATATAACTAGGTATCTGTCTTTCACTTCTTCCGCCAACCTCGCTCTTTTTTTTCATGTTTAAAAATATTTAAATTAAATATTTTCTGTCAATTTTTTAAATGTGCATCTTTTTATATTGGAATAATATTTACATTTTTACTAACAATTTAATGACTAAGACAATTTACTATTAAAATCCAACCAACAAAAATTAATTATTTGCCTCGCGTAAATGTTAATTATTGTTCATAATTAAGTTCAATTTAAACTATAATTACTAAATAAATTAGGTAACATATATCATCATAATAATTAATTAAAAATATATTTATTAAATTAGTGTTACAAGTGAAATATACACAATAACATAATATAACTTCAACTTATAAATACTTTATAATATTCGTTACATGTAATTATTTGTTAATCTCTACATTTACATTTTTTTTAATTATAATAACTAGTATCTTATAATATTATATTAATAAAGTGTCCACATCTCGACTTAATTTAATAAAAAAAAAAAAAAGCAATTAAGGAGTGTCAACATCTCTAATAAACATTCCCCAAAGAATAAAAAATCACTTTCCAATTTTGTGTAGCTAAAAAATAAAATTGTGAAATTTAAATGAGATAAAATTTAACTAAACTTATAATAATTTAACTAAACTTATAATTTCACCTTAAAAATTTTAAATTTACGACGAACTACTCAATTTTTTTTAGTATTTAAAATTATTTTTTCATGCAAATGGGTAAATAATAAATGTGTTTGAATTTATAATCTTAAATTTAAACGTCGTGTAAAATATATCTTAAAATTTAAAGTAATTAATAGTAAATTAAAACTCATATCAAACATGCATAGTTAGCGACTGTTAAAATAGTTGTAATGAGATGGTTGAATTTATTTATGTTAGTTTTTTAATTAATCAGTTTATAATAGTTAATCAAGATTAAATCTCGTTTATAAATACTAAATTTTTCATTAATAAAAATAAGTTGTTCATTTTTCAAACTCTCAATATTTATCATTTTTCTCGTACTCATTATTGGTTAAATTTTTTTTTTATTTATCAAAAAAAATATTCATTATTTTTCTTTTAATTTATGCGTGATTTCAAACTTTAACAGTAATCGATGATGATTTTAAAAGTAGTGTTGAAATTTCTTAATAAAAATATTTTCAATCTTAATTAGTCTTTCTCATCAAAGTTTTTACAATTCCGAACAAATTATTTTCAAATCGAACCACTATATTTTCTTTAATTGCTAATTTTATTATGAATATTTTTTTTTTTCAATTGCTCGTATTTTTTTTTTTAATATTCATGGTCCAATAATAAAAGTAAATCATGATTAAAACAAAAGCTCTTCATTAATGCTACTTCATTTGTTAGATCTTTGACTACTTATGTTGTTTTTGAAGGGATTATTAAGTTAATGCACCTAATTATGACATGATTAATTAACAAATTATTATCAGACTTTTATAATTAATCTCCTTAAATTAATTTATTTAGACAATAAGCCGTAAGCAGAGAAGCCAAAGCGAGCAAAAGTGCTTTTGGGAGGGGTGGGGGAAAAAAGGAGGTGGTAAAAATTGAAGAAGCGAAAGCGATAGGCACAGTGAAAACGGAGCAAAAGTAAGAAGCTGGATTTCGGGTCCCACATCGCATGATCTATCTACAGAATACGTGGTCCCCACTACCAGTACTCTTCCCTTTTTTTTCATTTATGGTAATAATCGATTCTCCCGTGCATTTATTTTATTTTTTATTTTTTCGAGTAAACTGAAAAATATTTATTTTTTTAATTTTAATTAAAAATATCTTATTTTAAAAACGTAATATAAGATAATAATTTGAGCTCGAACCTTATTTTATACCAATGTGAAACATTTCCTACTTAACTTAGTGTAACATAATTAATTTTGGTAACAAAAGTTAGTAAAAAAATATAAAGAAATAAATATTTTAAAATTTGATAATTATATATATATGTACATAGAACCTCATATGATAAAAGATTGGAAATTGAAGTTTAACAAATTTGATAATTGTAGTAAAGTAAATCACAAGCTAATCATATATACATATATATATATGTATGCTACTAATTTTTTTTGCCTTTAACCCACCACATAAATACCTATAAAAACTTAGAGAAGAAGATAAATAGCGGACCTAAAGTACCATAAATAAAGATTGTGCTCCTAACTCTAAGTTGTTGGATTCTCTTAGTCGACCATTATTTAAATTGAATTGATTTTTTATAATAAAAATTAATTAATTTGGATTGATTTGATGTTAAACTTAATTAAGTTGTTAATCATGATTTAAAGTAGATAACCATGATATAAGTTATCAACATGCTTTCGGTATACAACGAACCTAACCCACTTTAATTTGTTTACGAGAAAATATTTCATAATCAATGATTAATCACTTTTTTTAGAACTAACAAACGACAAATTATTATTATTATTACTCTTTGAAGCTTGATTATTACGTTTTATTTTTTATTCGGTATTTTTAAAAATGATGTTTGATTTTTTATACGCAAATGAGCTTAATGTAGAATTTGATGTGCGTAACAAGTTATCAATTTATTAGGCCTGTTTATAAGTAATCAATTACAGTTAAAC